TAGTATTCCATTGTGTGTATATTAGAAGGTTATATATTTTTGATTAAGTTAACTCCTAAACACTAACTATTTTATGGTTGTCCTGTGTAGTATCTTTTAAAATTACATTGTTAAGTTTTATTGGTGTGGAAAGGTATTAAGTTTGGTAAACTGCATTTATGAAAGATTAACAAACAACTGGTTCTTTGGAGAGAGAGGATGAATAGACTGCTGGAAAACTAATTAAAAAAGTTAAAGCAGAAAGGCAAAATATAGAACATAATAGAAGAAATAACTACAGTCTCAGTAATAAAGATATAATAAAGAATTATAAAAATAAAGTAGTGTTACAAACAGCTATATATTTCTAAATATGAAATGTCAAAATTGGCATAAGAAGAAACAGAAGATATGAATAGGACATTAATTACTTTTAAACAATTGAAATGTTAAAGACCTCTTCTCAAAAAACTCCAGGCCCAAATAGGTTTACAGATGCATTCTACCAAATTTCAAGGAACAGTTAGTTCCTCTTTTATCCAAATTATTGCAGAAAATAGAAAGAGTAAAAGCTGTGCAAGCTTATTTGCTGAGGCCAGTATAATCCTGTTGTTAAATAAGATAAAGACTACGCAAGAACAGAAAAATAGAGGCTCATTTACCTTGTGGCTATTATCCTTGAAATACCAAGATGGTTCAGTATCAGGAATGAGTGCAGTTAGTTGTATTCCAATAAAACATTATTTATAGTCACTAAAACTTGAATTTCATGTAATTTTTATGTATTATTAAATATTACCTAAAAATTTTCTTTCCAACCATTTAAAAATGTAAAAACCATTCTTAACTCACATTCTGTGTGAAAACAGGTGGTGGGCCAGATTTGCCTGTGAATTGTAGTTTGCCAACCCCCTATCTAGTTATGCAAACTGACAGAACACTATTAAAACTAATCCTGCTCTTACCTTTCTTATTTTCTTTCTGACAAGAAACATGCAGGGAAAGTCACATCATTTTTCATTGGTGCACCCCTCTGCAGGCACTTTATGTCACTGTGTACTGACATTTTCTGTCCACTGATGACTCTTCTCCCATTCTTCCTTGTCTTCTACTCACTTTCAGATCATCGTAGTAGTTAGTATTGCTTTCACCACTCCGTATTCACTGTGCCAGTCTTCTCTAGCCCCTCACCACTTTTGGGGTCTTTCATTATTTCTCATTGATTCTTTTCTGCCATTGTTCACAGTGGCAGTTCCAAACGTGTCATCTATTTCTAGCACACTCTGTTCCACTTCTGCCTTCTTCATTTTTACATATCTTAGCCTCATAGTTCCACAAGAAAATAAAGACTGTAATGTACTCTTTTAAGTGGTTATTGTTCAGCAAAAGAGTAAAAAGTAAAGCAAAAATTGGGGGAAGATATTTGTTAATATATAAATGTAAAAAGATTAATATCCAAACTATAGTTTTTTAAGAAACCCTATGAATCAAATAATAAAAAGAAAACCCAACTGAAAAATGTGTAAAAGATTTGACAAACATTTCATAGAAGTAGATCCCCTAATGGCAAATTATAAATGAAGAAAAGCTCACATTAATTACCAGGGAATTATAAATTAATCACAGAGAGAACATTTCTTATCCACCAAATAGGCAAAAATTGGGGGAAAAAACAGATATCATCTACTTTTGAAAATATGGAATAACTGGAATATAAATTGGTACAACTAATTTGGAAAACAATTTGGCATTAGCTAGTAAAATTGAAAATGCCCATACCATAGGGCCAAACAATTCCACTTTTACCCGTGGATCATGTGACTACACATGTGTGCCAGGGATCGTGTACAAGAATGTTCACAGGAGCAGTGTTTGTGATTGTAAAGGATTAGAAACAGGGAAATGTCATCAGCTGTAGAATGGATAAATAAGGTGTGATATAATCATACCTGGAATCTGTACATATAGCAGTGAAAAGGAATGAATTATAGCTACATACAGGAAATATATTTATTCCCTACTATCAGTATATTTATTTCCTATTATTTTAAATCAAGGGTTTTGTAAATTTTGTCATTGTATATAAATAGTTTTGTTTGAAAAATAGGACTGACAGATATCCTGGCTTTTAAAATGAAAGTTTGTTGGAATTGTTGAGAAATTTAGGCAAGTTAGGTGTAGAAATTAAGTTAGATTTTTAAAGTTAATTACATAAGTATTATATGGGTATATTCTCTATGTAAAACTTAAAATGTTATTGATAAAGCAAAGTCTCTTTTGACTAGCACTCTTCAAATATGTATGTACAGGTAGAGAGTATGTATTGTGACTGGTACTCTCAAATACATATGTACAGGTAGAGAATACATGTTGTTTTATGTTTTATTTTTTTTGTTGAGTAAATGACAAGTCTCAAGTTCTTTCTATGTTGGTTTATATAGATCTGTATTTTCCTTTTGAGATTGTATGGGTTCCATGGTATGGACTTTAATAGTTTAGTCATTGTCCAACTGGTGGACATTTGTTTTGTTTTTGTTTGATTACAAAAGATGCTGCCTTGCTTATTTTAAGTGTATTTATGCATGTATATGTGTGTGTCTATAATCTAGATACTAATCATCAAATTGTTTTACATATAGCAAATATTTTTCTAGTCTGTCACTTGAAGGCAAAGATTTATGTTTTTGCTGTTTTTTTGTGGTCTTAAGAAGATCTCTTTTCCTAGGATCATAAGTAATATTCTCTTACATTTTAAAGTTTAAATTTGTAGTTTTGTTTTTAACATTTAGTTCTTTAATCCACCTAAAATTTATTTTGGATTTATTTCTTTCAAATGAGTACCAGTTGTTCCAACACCATTTATTGAATCATTGATTAGATTACCTTTATCATTTACTGCTACAACTACTAGCCAAAATTTGTTTAGCACAGTAGTACATGTTAGGACCAGCCACTATTCTAAGCACTTTACAAGTTTTCTCTCATAATATTCATGCCCACCCATTTTACAGTTGAGGAAGTAAGGCCTGAGAGGTTAAGTGAATGCCCAGTGTATCGCAGTTGCTAAGTAGTAGAGCTTGGATTTTAATTCATGAATCTAGCTCCAAAACCCATGCTCTTAAACTTATGTAAGCATAAGTAAAGTTTGAATTGACAAATGTGTTTGCCATTTCCCAGGCAGCCAGAGCTAGTAATTGCTTTGATTTTCCCCTTCTTGGATCATGATTGAAAACTTGGTGCCAGAGAGAGATGGAGACAAAATTGTGATTTGAAAAACTAGAGATAGTTGTGGAATCTGAGGTATAAATCCAAAGAAAAACAAAATACTTCTCAGGTTTATTTTAACATAATTTCTGATAACAGAGAGGTGTAGGATCTTTAAAAATTTTAAAGAACGTCATCAAATTCTAAAATTTGGGTATCTGACCAATTATACAAGTGAGTTTATTATTTGATTAAGTAAATGTTGGTGCCACTAGGAGTTTTATTTAATATTGAGATGATTACCAACTACATATTTTCTGAATTCCTTGCTCTTTTTTACTTAAATACGAAATGAGAGAATGGTTTTGGGATTTATAGCCAGGCTAACTTGAAATCCCAGCCTTTGTATTTACATTATTTCTTCGGGCTAGTAGTGGAAACTCCCTGAACCTTTGGTTATCTTTAAATCAGATGATAATACTGAGGGGGTGGTATGATATTTTAATAAGATAATATTTGTAAAGTTCCTAGCAAAATGCATAGTGTGTAGTAAGTACAGTATTTTAATTTCCTTTTATTTTAAAACATGTATGTGAAAGTCACTGGCTTAAGTTTTATAATTTGCTTTTCCCATTTATATCTCTTATAGAGGAATACAGTAACTTTTCTTTGGGAGATTTTGAGTGAAGTACAAAGAGTTAATCCTTAGCTATATATTTTTTTAATTGATGAGGAAAAATTATATCTTTAGGTAATTTTTATGAATAGGTTTCTATCTCAAGTAATTGTCAATTTAATATCTTCAGATAATTTATCTGTTCTTTGTTTAACCATTCTAGGATATGTGGACAATTTTTTCTAGAGAAATAGTTTTAAGACCATCTCAATCTCTGAGATGACATTATAATTTAAATGTTTCATCCTTTATAATTTCTGAATGTACTTTTAAAATTAGCAACAGATACCACATTATTGTATATAATGTATTAAGATGAAGTGTTAAATCAGATGGGTGCTAAGATTCCTCGTAACTCTGAGATTCTCTCATTCTGGGAAATGTGCATTATCTAAAAAACTTTTTCTAGAGTAGACATGAAGTTCATCTTCCATTTTTATGAGATGTAAAGTTACTAGTCTCCAAATAACTTACAGTTTTATGCTTACTAAAAAAAAAAAAAATCAGTAAACTGGGGCTGGCTGGTTAGCTCAGTTGGTTAGAGTACAGCCTTGGAACACCAAAGTCAAAGGTTTGGCTCACCGTGTGGGCCAGCTGCAAAAAAAAAAAAAAAAAAAAAAAAAAATCCATAAACTATTTTATATGTAGATAGTGGAATGCATCAGTCAAATATTCTTATATTTTACATGACGTTTAAGAATTAATTCATTTTACTCAAAAAAGATAACTTTAATGTTAAAAATTTATTTAGTAATTTAGAAATTACATTAAGTTGTGCCATTTTTCTGCATTATCATTTATAAGTGTCAGTATGTTGTATGTCTGGCCAATTGAATGCCCAGGTGAGCGGTCACGATAATGAATTATTCATTTTTTATGATCATATTTGGTATGAAGTATGCAGCATATATTCTGAGTATGTATCTTTTGGTTAATTAGAAAAGGCTGTTTTTTAATTATGTGGTTAATTGTGGAGTGATACTGACCACGTGGAAGCTCTTCACAGAAAATTTTAGAGTGCGAATGAGTGATGATTTGCTCTGTTCTGATAAAACAAGAAGAGCTCTTGAGTTCCAGCCGTGCAGCGTGTGACAGAGCGAGTGCATGTGTCATCCCGCCTCTCTCCTGGTTTCTCGCCTAGGTGCAGCGGTGGCGGGCATCTACAGAGTCGCCGGGAAGAACATGGCCCCTTTGGAAGCACTGGTCTGGGGCGTCGGCCAGACTCTACTGACATTAATCATCTCCTTTTCAAGAATTCTCGCTACACTTTGAGGTTTCTGTGGGAATGTCTTAATTTACATAGGGAAACAGATGTACAGGTTCCCTGAAAATGGCCTCGTTAACCAGTGGAAATAAAGTTGTTCAAGAATGTGGACCAAGCAGGCGAAAACAAAAGGAAGACCTTGAGCTGTGTGGAAAGATCGCCCTCTGGTGTTCGAGTGATTGCACTACCGCACTGCACCTTACGTGCCTCCGTCCCAGGCAAGGTGCACTGAGACACTATGGAAGCTACAAGAAAAAGCACCTTGTTTAGCTGCCAATCAGGTTAACATTGGTGTTGAAATCATCGTTCTTAACAGTGTTGTGTTAAGTTACAGGGACGTTTTGAGGAATTTATATATGTGCCAAACTCCTTTCTTTTTGTTAACATTGATCATGTGACAATTTGCAAGTGTAGATGTAGATGAGTGCTGTGAACATATTTGACATGAATTCAGGTGATGTAGTAAGACTTTTGTTTTGTAATGCTAAATCCTGTATGAGTGCTACATACTGAATCATTTAATACGAGAGAAATTATTTGGTTTTTAATGTTGAGCATTTCTGGGGTTTAGGGCTTTAATGTGTTTAGGCATTATTATTTAATTTATGTCGAAAATAACAGTCTTCTTAATCGAAGACTAGCTAAACTGTTTTAAGGACTCAAAGTAGATCTATAGGGTGCATACTTTTCACTAACTTAAATAACACCCTTGTAATAGTTTCCCTCATGCATACATTTTCTATTTATTTATGTGAATTCAGAAACCTTATGCGTCACACACATTGATTGTAGTTTGTCATCAAAATATAATTTGAAAAGTTTCTTAAAAATTTTTTAAGAAAAATGTCTGAAATGCATGTTGCGTTATTTGTCCCTTCTAAAGAAAGTTTTTGCCTAGTATCTCCTGGAGAAAACATCTTTATAACTAATATCTCCGTGGGATTATATTACTTGTTGCATATATCTTGATTTTTGACAAAACATAAACAATTTTCCATTCTGGAGTTTTAACTGCATTTAAAGAGTGGCCTAAATTAGGCTCTGGAAATAAAATGCCTCATTTATAGAAAAGTAACAAGTAAGTTATATAGGAAGAGTAATAAACTATCTTACTTTGGATATGTGGCAGTTATAGTTTTGCTCACTAAAAATTGGGGAATATAGTAAATAATTTTAAAATTTGACAGATAATCAGTGTATTGATAAAGTACTGAATATATATATGAATGGTTAATTTCAGTTCATTTTTTGATTTGTGTTATGATTTAAGTTTATTTCAGTTTATAAGTTATGATTTAAGTTTACTAGAATATATGATAACATTTAGTAAAAATGGAATTGGCCTTCGTATAAAACATTTTAAGAGGTTTTGGCAATACATAATTATTTATAAGAGTACAGGAAGTAGGGGGAACACAGAGTCTGGTTGAATTGGTCTCCTAATGAGATTTTTTTTTTGCTACCAGCTGCAGTTATAAATGTGCAAACTCAAAGGAAGAACTATTGCAGAAAATATGAAGTTAAGGACAGTCCAAAAAGTAATCTGGCATCCTAGCCTCTCTCTTTATCCTAATTAGTAAAAAAGCAGGTTTCTGTTAGGTCCCATTCAAATTTAAGACCTTTGTTATCCACACCACTTTTTTTCCACCAAAAACCATAATATGTCAACAACTAAATAATGAGAAGTTGGGGATTGGATACTTTTACAAGTATGGAAGCCAATCGTGGGGATTTACTAACACCATGGCTCAAAAATTTGTTTAACCACTTTTTTTCCACCAAAAACCATAATATGTCAACAACTAAATAATGAGAAGTTGGGGATGGGATACTTTTACAAGTATGGAAGCCAATCGTGGGGATTTACTAACACCATGGCTCAAAAATTTGTTTAAAAAAAAAAAACCCAAACAATAAGCAATTATGCATAACTAGAGATCTTTGAAGTAAATCTTACAATTTATTCTTTTTATTATGTACAAGCCTGAAATTATTTTCATGTGTTCTTTATAATCCTGATTTTTTCTCAAATTAAATTAGGCAGAACTTTTCTAAGTCAATTTGATTTCTCCTTTTCTGTTAGATTTGAATTGTTTTCTTCCCTTACTTTGGCGATTCAATCAGTAGTTTAAAGCATTCATATTCTTCCAGAGGAAACAATTACCAATAACGTGGTAATTGTTTCAAATCTACAGGATGAATATTTTAGCATATGGTTACTTTATGAGTTAAGAAAATTATCATGGTAAGGTAAAATGGAGCCACATGGTTCATAATCCAAAATTAACCAGAAGACAATTTGGACACATTAAATGTATGAATGCATGGACCAAAGAGATTTAAACTCCTGTTTTTACTCTAGAATGAAAGTGTAATTGAATGGTTAATAATTAGTTTGCAGAGTGTCCTGTAGTTATCTCATTATCAAGTTGCTTTATATTATGAATTAGGGGTGGGGGGTGTGTGTGTGTACATACTTTTAATTTTAGGAGTGATTTTTGGTTTCTTTGCCTTTTTCAGTTATTTCCATTGGGACTTTGTGCAACTGTCACTTTTTTGATGTTTTGAAATGCAGTTGAATAGTGTGAATTAATGAAATTGTCTTAATAGCTATTTATATGCTGAGATTTTTAAAAAGTTAGTGGTTTTCCTAAAGAGACAAGAAATGTTTAACGATATATGTATACACATATGTATCATTATATACATATATAGGGAGCTGCTATATATGAATGCAGTGTAATTGGAAAGCTTTTGCTCAATGAACACTTTCATATTCTAGTGGAGAATTTGATATATTTATTTGTTCATTTGAGTGATCTTTTAAATAAGTTAGAGGATGTTTGAGATTTTTGCATTTTGGGAAAATTTTCCTGGCTTAATGTGCTAGAGACTCTTGTTTGGGATATGACAAAAGCCCTTATTGACATATTTGGGTCACACTTTCTTAAAATTTATATGTGATTTAGGAATAAATTTTCTTAGTGACAATTGCAAGAAGAAGGGGGAAATCCTCCACAGTTTATTTTAAAATGTTTAGTAAAATATTCTTGATAGTGAACTCAGTTCCCCCAAAAAGGAACTCTATAGGCCCAAACTAATTATTATTTAATATTACTGGTCAGAAATGTCCATAGATTAGAGTTAGTCAGGGGGCCTCATAGAAGCTACAAATAATGCTTAAAACCTTTAAACGATGGAGGGACAGTTCCATTGGTTGCCTAGGATGAGGAAAGTCCTAACTGATGGCTATATTCAGTGCTTGCAGCTTAATTACTCCTATTTTAGATCTTAATGTTTACCAAACAGTGTTATAGTTTGTTACCCAGTATACTTTCTTAGTATTTGCAACTTACATTTACACTGCCCAAAAAAGTGTAAGGGTTTTTGTTTGTACTTTAAAAGGGAGAAATAAAGAAATGAATTGGCCTGTATATCTTGTATTTGTGATGTAAGGAACAGGGGTAACTTAAAATCAAAGAATGTTGTTAGAAAAGAGTGTTTAGAGAACCTGTGGGGCTGCCACATAATGTGCCCAGGATGACACATGCAACTAATTCAGTTCTGTAAACTTTTTTTTTGCGGATCTGCTTACTTACTTCTCTTGGATTCATTCAGCCAATGTTCCTTGAGTCTCCACTACATGCAAATTCTTCTCCTTGATTTAGGGATGAAACTGTGAGTGAGATACAGCCCTTCTCTGTCTTCTCCGTACGTCCACCTTTCTTCTGCCACCCTGGGCACTTGGCTCTGCAGCACAGCCCAATTCTGCAGGAATAGAGAACTGTTGTCAGTGTCTGCTAGGTCCTTCCTTCTGTGGACCAAAGGTGCTTAAAGCCCTAGTTATTGTTCTGTTTGTTTGTTTAACTTAAAAGGAAATACCGTTATTTTAAATTTGTGTCCATTTTATCATTCAGGAAGTAACAAGATGCTAAGAGCATTTTCTGAAATATTCTTAAACTACTTCACTCTTGCTATTACACGTTTTTCTCTCAGAAAGTCTCCATCAGAATCTCTTCAGTCATTATTTATTTTGTGTTTAAGACATGAGGAGTGTGGAAAATTACTGAAGAAATTCCAGCAGGCTTAAACTGCGGAAAAGTTTGGTAACACTTGTTGGGGAACTGAATAAATTCCTATTTCTTTTAACAATCGGTGAGACTCTTAGTAGTTAAAATTGACTGGTAATCAAATGGTCTCATAATCTCTCTTAACTTCCTGTTCTTTTTATGGAAGGAGACTCTTCATGATAAAAAGGGCATAATTTGATTAAAAAATTGTAATGTTTTTCAAATGTATGGTACCTTTAAAGGGAATCTTAAAGACAGGAAGAAATGTTAGAGGGTAATGCACAAAGACAAAGGCATATTTGACGAAGTACCCTCCATGATGTGAACCTAATTTTACCCCCTCTGTTGAGCCTGTACACTACACTGTATGCGTATATGTGCAGTGTTTACATGATGCTGTGTTGCTGTATATGTGAGGCTTCACCGACCATGGTGCATTTGGAAAATCATGTTACATTTGTGTGTCTGTGGTGGACGGTGTGTTCTCCTAACTTAGGGATCTGTGTTCCGTAACTTAGGGATCTTAGGCAATACAGTGTTGTTAAGGAGGTTGCTGAATTAGTTATCTAAAACTGTATCTGTGGGGCCGGCCCGGTGGCGCACTGCTACAGTGCGCCACTTGGGAAGTGCGGCGGCGCTCCCGCCGAGGGTTCGGATCCCACATACAGACTGGCCGCTCACTGGCTGAGCGAGGTGCGGGGGCAACACCGAGGGTTGCGATCCCGTTGCCGGTCCCAGTCCGGTACGGGCGCGACACTGAGGGTTGCGATCCGTTGCTGGTCACAAAAAAAGACAAAAAGGGAGAAAAAATAAAAATAAAAATAAAAAAATAAAACTGTATCTGTGAATTTGTTTGGGTGAATTAACGTTTAATATGTTAAGTATTTTAGTAAATGCAGAGATGGACCGGTTAACACTTGATTAAATTAGTGGAAACACTCAAATTTGTGAGTGAACCGAGCTATGAACTGCAGCCATCTCTTCCCAAGCTTAAGGGACTCACTTTCACATCTTTACATTCCTTGCACAAACGTTGAACTTACACAATAACCCTTTCTTGATTTTGAGAGCTCATTTAGCAGTTTCTTAAAAATCTTTCTCTCCGTTTCATATAGATATCATATGTTAGAGTTTAAACATATATACAGTTTATTGATAGAATCCGAAGTGCTGGTCAGATGAGAATATTCTTAACACTTATGGTTATGCAGCTATAATCTTATTGAAAAATAAGTACTATAGGCAAGTCAGGAAAGCATGAACCTGTTACATATTTTTTTTTAGATTGTATGCTGCAGCCATATATATGTATTGACTGTTATATATATATATATGCCCCTTTGGGGGAATGTTTGGGGAATGTATTTAGGTCTATAACTGAAACTGGAAAGCAGTGTGACATAAATTCATACAAAGAGGAACTGTAATGCATAATGATCTGAATCCCATAACTGTAATGTTTTTCTCCTAAATATATATTGATAATTACTAAATGTCATCACTTTCTTCAAGTCTTGTTTGAATGGATGTTAACTTGAGTGTATTAGTGATGATGCAGAGTCCCTTTGTTTTCACACTAAAGTATTTGCACATCATCATTAAGTATCTTTGGGATGGAACATTTAAAAAGTTTTCTCCGTAGAAAGCAAAATAGAGACACTTGTTTGAATAGTAATAGAAATGATTTACTTTCAGTACTGGGTGACTTGATAGTCTAATTGTTGACATTTCCTTAGTATTTGTGATATTGTATGCATTCACGATGGAGGAATTTTAAAACATTCTAGCCCTCTCACAAATACACATACACGTTCAGACATAAGCTGTACACATTTAGATGAACAAATATGAAATTCCACAGTATATTTTGTTTTAGCCATATAACTTGATAAAATTCATATGATTCTACAATAAATATTAGCCCCTGACTGTAGTCATTCTGGAACAAGGGTATCATCTTTATCTTAAAACTAGTTAAACTGTCTTATTTAAATAGCAAAATTAGGGCTAGCTGGTTAGCTCGGTTGGTTAGAGCATGGTGTTATACCATCAAGGTCAAGGGTTTGGATCCCCATACTGGCCAGCTGCGAAAAAAAAATGCAGTTTACCTGATAGGTATTAGAGACTCGCTTTCAAATTGTGTTAACTCTCAGACAACTGAAGAATCATTTAGTAAATCACAGCACAGTTTTTAAAAAACTAAATGATGCCTTAGTGCCTTGAAAGTTAAGATCTTTTGCAAAGTGGATTTAGTAAGACCCAGGATTGGCACTGATGAATTGGTTTTGTACATGTCACCTGTGACTGGGATTCAGAGTTTAGGAAGGGTGTCATTGAAACAAATTTTAGCTATCAACTTCTGATGGTTCAATATAAGACAGTTACTTAGCCATTGATAATGACAGTTGATAACTATTTTCATTATATTTTCATGATGTGGTGTTTTTCCCTATTTTTTCTTTTTCCAAGTAAGTATGAAGTGGGGGAAATGTAGTTAAGACAATTAAATGTGGGATTTTAAAATTTAGTTTTGTTGTAAACTAGAGCTTCTAGTGTGAACAGTGTTAATTTTATACTGT